AAAAAATAAAAAACAAGGATAGAAAAATATTGTTCAGTAATAGTTTCAAATTTACTCACTAAAAAAATATATATTTATAAACAAAAACCTTAAAAAGTTAATTATTTTTCTCCAATCTCATTTTCTATCTCATGTATTTTTAATAAAATAATTTTATAAATAAATTTTAATTTTTTTCTTATTTTTTAATTGCACTTCCACCAGAAAATCAAAAAATGGGCTTGAAGTAGATCCAAATGGTGCAATTGTATATTCATGTAAAACCTCCCTTCTGCCCAAATCTCCAAGACCTCAGCACCTCCTTCGGTCGATATGTTGTTCTCCCGCCACCTCCTCCGCAAACCACCGTCGAAACGCCACCTCCTCCGCCTTTTTTCCACCACCCCTACACCCTCCCAATCTTCAGCGGTCAATGTGAATAAACATTCCGGCGACCACGAGTTCCTCCAACCAAGCACCTTCATTAACTCCTGGAAGACTCCTCGCGATCCGAAGCAGGCCGAAGCTCAACTCTCCTTTCTCCGACGAGAATACGCCCGGAAAGTGAAGGAAATCCGGAAGGAGTATATCAAGGAAATGGAATCGCAGAGGCTCGAAAAATTGCGCAAAGACGAGGCCAAAAAAGAGGCACTGAGAATTTCAAATGAGGAGAGAAAAGCCGCAAAGGCTGCGAAGAAGAAGGCCGAGGCTATCGAGAGACAGGCTGCCGAAGAAGAGTTCCGGCGAACCCTGGTAAGCGAACTCAGCTGTGTGCCTTCCCTTTTGATCTTTATTTCATTTTGTGGATAAGTATGCTATTACACGTTTAAATATAAGATTTTGCTGCTGGATTTTGTTATCTGTGTTCTCATTGATGTTGATTAATGTTATGATTAGAGAGCAGTGTTCTTAATTTACGATTACTATTCAAATTGAACTTTAAATTTTTCCTGCTCTGATTCAATCTGGATTCATGCCAAGAATCATTGCATTGGTTAATACTGCTGGCGTATTTTTGTTACATATAATTTGCTACACATAACCATTTATATATTTTTTTCATACTTGTGTCTATATCTATAACATTTGAAATGAATTATATTAAGTCCCGTGCTCATGTTCATTCGCATTTTTCTCATTTAAGACAAGTTTTTACTTACTTAAACAGAATTGGTTAAGTGTTGTATCTTCTAAGATTCTGTATGCAATCTCTATTTGGATGTTGAAAACTATTAAACATAAACAACTATTGAATTAGGCGGAGCCATTTGGTCTGATGGCTTAACCAAAAAATACTTTTTGTAACTCATTATTACCTAATGATAGACGATGAAGTCATATAATAAATGTGCTTGGTGAAATACAGTGTACCATAATTGGAACACGCAATGAATTTGATTGAGGTGGCATCTTCTCCTTGAAAATCTCAAACTAGCACTAGTCATGAGTCTGTGCAACTTCTTCAACAAATTTCACCTTATGCAATGAGAAATCAGTGATGGATTACCTTGTGATTAGTTTGTCACGTAAATTAGATTTTGTTTGGACCAAGAAATTATGAATTTCATCTGCTCTTCTTTCAGGAAAAGTTATGTAATGCGTTATTTAACTATATTTGCAAATATATGCATTCAAGACTGCAAAATCCTTTCTTCCCTAGCTTTTAATTTTACTCTGTCCAACCAGAGACAGGGTGAGTATGTTCATTATTTATTTCCTTTCAGAATATGAATGCGTGGTACTTTCATGGGTTGTCCTCTATTTTGCATTTCAAGATGGAAAAATACGCATCTTGCCACTATTTTTCAAAATACAAAATCTAAATATAGCAGCTATTTTCCTGATTGGCACCTGTTAATTTCTTATGAGTTATGACTATCACTTTTTAATATGATAATTTTTTATGAAGTTCCATGCGTTGCAATCTAATTGATTTCGATACAAGTACTTTAAGCAGACAATCTTCTATCTAGTTGAGTTTCTAGATGATGTGTGATAGCTGGATCTCCATCACCCCGTGGGTGAATAATAGACCCTGTTTGTTGCCCATTTTGCACTCTTATTTTAGAAAAAATTTGCCCGTTACTAATCATTTCCACTGACAAAGCACTGACTGGAGGCTGTACACAAACAGCTTTGTTAAAACACCAATCCTTTTATTACCGTTTATAGTGAGCCAAAATTATGGTAGGTGGAAAAGTAAGAAAGGGTGGGTTGTTGAAGGCAAATGAGGGTATTTCGGGAAAGATAAAAATTGTACTAGTCAATTCAAAAAATATATGCCATCATGTGGGACGCATGTTGGTAGAAAGAATGCATTTTTCCGAATGAAAATGGGGGCATAAGAAACCTCTTACTCAAATGTCGTGGCATCTCTACTTAAATCTGAATTATTTGTCTTTCCTTAGGTCTGTATTTATCATTTATGTTTATTTATCATTCAATCTTTTTAGGGGGTAGAGGATTCAAAATGATCAAGTTTCTTATAAACTTGATATAAAGTTGTCCCCATTAGATGGAAGAATAAAAGTTGCTGCTTTAATGGTCTGTTCTCTTAACAATTTGACCTAGTACTGTGCTTTGTGGCTGATATGTTGTAATTCTTTTAACGCAGATGAAAGAAAGAGCAGAGAAGCTTGAATATTGGAGGATGAGACAAATGAAAATTGAGGAGAAAAGGAAAGAGAAGAAGGAGCTTCTGCATAGACAAAGTTCTATATGGGTTGATGAATTAGAATTGGAGAAGAAGAC